ATTACATATAAATAAAAAACAAATAATTATATCATAGGTTGACAGATCTACTGGTAGTAGTACTACTGCAGTTACAATCATTGGGACCAAAGAAGCACAAAAGCAGGCTAAAATATTAATCGAAGAAAGTTTAAAAGATGTTCCTATAGAACAAAAAGAAATAAAACCTATATTTTCTATAGAGCAAAAACAACAAGATGAAACTAAACCGAAGATTGACTTTCGCAATTTTGACTGGACAGCAGCAAGTAAAGAATGCGTAAGTTAATTAAAATATAATAAAAAATAATATAAAATAAATTTATATATATTATTTATAAATTTTTTCGTTGATTAGGATGAATATCAAAAAGAAAAATGGTCAAAGTTTGCACCAATTATTAAAAACTTTTATAAAGAGCATCCAACAGTTACAGCTATGACAAAGGAACAAGTAGCTCATATTAGAAAAACAAATAATAATATAGAAGTTAAACATGTATTTGAAGAAAAAGGAAATAATTCAGATCTCTTAAAAATACCTAATCCCATTGAAACATTTGAACAAGCTTTCGAGGTAAATTTATCTATTGATCTAAATTATTAATCTATATATCTGAATGAATATTTATAAAAAAAATATAATACTTAAATAAATATTACAGGTATATCCTGAAATACTCGATGAAATTAAAAAACAAAAATTTGTTAAACCAAGTCCAATTCAATCACAGGCATGGCCGATTCTCCTTAGTGGTAGAGATCTTATTGGAATAGCACAAACTGGCACAGGTATATTAATAAATGATATAATATTGTGATATAATGATATATCTGTAAAGAATAAATTATTTTATTAATATTTTTCAGGAAAAACTTTGGCATTTTTACTTCCTGCATTAATTCATATTGAAGGTCAACAAATACCTAGAGTCGAAAGAAAAGGACCAAATGTCCTTATTATGGCACCAACTAGAGAATTAGCATTACAAATTGAAAAAGAAGTAAATAAATATTCCTATCATGGTATAAAAGCGTAAGTAAAATTATAATATATTTTCATTTTAAAATTATATATCTTAAAATATATAAATATATTTTTATAAATATATTATCAATATATTATTAGGGTGTGTTTATATGGAGGTGGAAGTCGCAAAAAACAAGTAAATGTAGTGACCGAAGGTGTAGAAATCGTTATAGCAACACCTGGAAGATTAAATGATCTTGTAGAGGCAAAAATTTTAAATATTAGTTCAATTACATATTTGGTATTAGACGAAGCAGATCGTATGCTCGATATGGGATTTGAACCTCAAATCAGAAAAACTTTATTAGACATTAGACCTGATAGACAAACAGTAATGACAAGGTACACAAAATTTGGTATTAAAATAAAATTAAAAAAATATTATTTATATATCATAATCAATATAATATTATAATATCATAAGCAATATGTATATGTAACAATACCAAATAATACATTTGTATTTTAGTGCGACATGGCCTCAAGGTGTTAGACGCTTAGCTCAATCATATATGAAACATCCAATTCAAGTATTTGTAGGATCTCTTGATCTAGCCACAGTGCATACTGTTATGCAAAAAGTTTATATTGTTGACGAAGAAGAGAAAACTGATATGGTATATAATTTCATTGTCAAATGAAAAATATCCTAAATAATGTTTTAAAACATAAAATTGTGTATAACATTCTTTTCTTATTTTAATAGATGTACGAATTTTTCCGTAAAATGTCTCCGAATGATAAAGTTATTATATTTTTTGGAAAGAAAACTAAAGTTGATGATGTAGCAAGTGATTTAGCTTTACAAAGTGTTAATTGTCAAAGCATACACGGAGGAAGAGAACAGTCAGATCGTGAACAAGCATTAGAAGACTTAAAAACTGGTGAAGTACAAATTTTATTAGCCACAGATGTTGCCAGTAGAGGCATCGATATCGAAGATATTACGTATGTTTAATTTTATATATTTTAAAATTTTAATCAAACTTAAATTCTAATCAAATAAATTTATTTTAGACATGTATTAAATTATGACTTTCCGAGAGATATAGAAGAATACGTTCATCGAGTTGGTCGCACCGGTCGTGCAGGACGTAGTGGGGAAAGTATCACCTTCATGACCAGGAAAGATTGGACACACGCAAAGGATCTAATTAGTATTTTAGAAGAAGCAAACCAAGTATGTTCTAATATATTTATATACTTATATTGATTCAACTTTTATATATGTATATATTTATATATGTATTTTTATTTATACAGGAAGTACCTGAGGAGTTATATCAAATGGCTGAGCGTCATAAAGCATGGAAAGGAAAGCGAGCGAATGATAAACACTTTGAACGATTAGATAAATATGATTATAATCGTTCGTCAAGAAACAGAAGATGGTAGTTCCTGTTTATATTATTTATAAGTATATGTTTCTGACAATTCTTAAATTAATCATTATAAAAACTATTTTTCATACAATTATATACAAATCGAATCTTTTCCTCAAAAGTAATTAATTCTTACTATTATTATAATATTGTAGTGTAATATTGAAAAAAAGTATTTGCCTTTGATAACACTATAATGTTATAATGATCGATGATTCGATAAAGAATTATTCTGTACCATAAGTAAAATTAGTATTTTTTCCTTTTTATATTTTATTTTTTATATAGTAAATGTATTCAATTAGAATTCATTAATTATTATTTTCTAAGTAATTTTTAAGTAGTTTTATAAGAAATGTTACCGTTAATTGTTTATATTTTGGATATAAACTGAATAAAAATATAACTTATATAAAAACTGTGTAATATTATTTTTTATTTTTTTTTTTTTACAAACATTCGATGTAATAAAATATTTAAAAAAGAAATGTGTACAAAATAAAAATACATAAAGTATTAAAATTAATAAACTAAACTTTTTTATTTATATTTGTACTATAAAAATAATAAATTACGTTATATTTAAATAAAATATTTGAATTTGCATAGTAATAAAATATTAAAATAAATAAAAATATTTCATAGTAAAAATAGTAATATTATATTATTATAACTATAATATTTAAAGTTTTGTTTAGAAATAAATAAATAAAATAAAATTTTAATAAATTTTCAAATAAACATAGTAAAAAATTTTAAATTATTTAATTAATGTAAAACAAAAAAAAAAAAAGTTCTCTGTAAATATAAAATATATTGATAATAATTTGCACAGTATATATTTTTTGTACACAAATTATTATAAATTTAGTTATTGTACTATTATTATAAATTTTGAATTTTTTTATTAATATCAAATTTTAACTATATACTTTGAAATTTCGTGTTTTGGTATATTTTTCAGCAAATATTTTTCCACTTGGAGTTGGAATTGAAAATGCGATATCATCTATAGACATAACATAACCGAAATAAAAATTAGCTCTGAAATAATTAAAAAAATTATTAATATATATTTTAATATATAATTATAAATTTCTAAATTATTTTTAAGTAATATAGATATTTACCTTAATATATCAACCAATTTAGTAGCTATACCTTGTTTACGATGACTTAAATCCGTCCATACAACATTTATACCACATTTAGCAGGACTACTTTCTGCTGTGCAACAATCTAATTCTAATAATTCAGGTATCATGCGATATGCAGTTGTTATATGTTCTGCGACTAGCACTCCTATGATGACTTTATCTCTTATATATAAATAAACCTAAATAATTAATTATATTAAAATTTTATTAAAAATAAAATTTCTAATAAAATTATTTTATCTTGTATTTTTTGCTATTACTTTTTTTTGTTCATAATCTGATAATTTTGTGTCACCTAATCCTAAATCTCTGTCTACATATACTAAAACTTCATTCACTTTCTTCCAACATAATTTTGAGTCACCTGGTTCTATTAAGATTACTCGACTTGATGTAAGAGGATCTTCTATAACTACACGTTCCGTTTTCCAACCCTGAATTTTCAAGATAAAATGTCCAAATTATTATTTAAATGAACTATATATATATAATTTATACATACCGGAAATTTTAAACTTTTTTTATTATTATGACAGTTTAAATGAGCATTTTCATCTTCTGGATCTCCTATTTGATACACAATACCACATTCTATACATTGTGTTGCTCCAAAATTTTTTTGTCCAACATCCAGTTGATATTGATTATCACAACCATTTAATTTCATAGATAATTGCCAATTTGTATTTTCTTTTCCATTATTTAATTTTTTATTAATTTCACTAAAATTGATACACTTATAAGAAATGATTTAGAAATTAATTAAATATTTTAAATACTTTGCTTACTTAAATTCTTTATTAGCAGAATATCCCTTATTAAATAATGGATAATACTTTTGTTCTGTATTTTCATTATTATCTAAAGAAATATTTTTCAGAACAGTTGGTATACTAATATCTTTGATACTTGTAGTTAATGTCATATTACTTAGTTCACTTGTTGGTGACATTGTGACATTATTTAATACTGATTTTAATGGTGAAACATGTTCAAGTCTTTCATTAGTTAATACTTCCATAGTATCATAATCATCATCAGCCCAATCATTTTCTAAAATTTTTAATATATTAGCTACTTTATCTTTTTCTATTGTAGTTTCTAATTCTGGTTCATCTACTGATAAATCAGTTGCATCAAAAGAAATATCTACAAGTTTTTGCCGTTTATGAGATTGATTTTCATTCTTTTGATTTAATATCATTTTACCATTTGATTCAATTTTTAATTTTACATTATTACTTATAGTTACTATAGCTGAAGAACTTTTCTTTGACGATTTTTTAATTTTGAAAAAGCGTTTATTAAGATCAATTTCTGGTGATGTATTAGTTACTATTTCCGATTCTGGTATTTTAATTTTTTGTGTTAAATTTTTTTGTACATTGTTTGATGTATCATTAATCATCTCTATGTTATTATTATATTTTGTACTAATTAAATTTGTTTTTGGTTTTGGTTTTTTGATACTATGTGATACACCAGCATTGATACCTCCTATGGAATGTCTTTTAATATATTTCCTATGATAAGGCACACGTCTTATATGATATTCTTGACGTTTTTCTTTTGGTATTTCAGGACTGATCTTATAAATTTTTGTCTCAGAGTAATTATAAAAATTTTTAGTACTCAATGTTACATTTTTTAGTTTTGATTCACAATTTTTATCTTGAAATAAAGCTGTTCTAACTTTTGACATCAAATTTGTATCAGTTTTTAATAATTTTGTAGGGGTATTTTCTAATTTATCTAAAGCACATCTCTTTGACATTTTTTCCTTCTTTTCAGGTGAAAGTTGTTTTTGATAAAGATTCTGTTGATTAAAAAAGACAAAAATTTATTAAATCATTAAAATGAAAAAAAATTTTCTAATTTTATTTTGATTTATTATTATTTAAATTATTAAATGAATAAAATCTTTTTGATTTTAGAATTAAAGATATTATAATTATAATGAAAAAAAATTATAAAAGAAGATAATATTTTCAAATTGATATTGTATTTAAAACAATATAACATCAATATATTTTTTATATTTATTATTAATAAAAACGAATAAAATATATTTTGAAGATTATAGTGAACAAATAAAATAACCTAAAGAAGCATAAAGAATCATTTGATATTAAAAATAATAGATATAAAAATATTTTTATTTATTTTTTTTCTTTTTAACTTTTCAATAGTTAATTAAATGTTTGTTACCATTAGATTTCTTTATTTTTCTATAATAACTATAAATAATAATAAAATTTATTATAAAACAATATAACACATTCATATAACAATTGACAATTCAAAACCGCTAAAAATTTTCTGATTCTTTACTTTACCTTGCTTTCGCGCTTTTTTACTTTTACCTGAAACTATATATGTAAGTGATTGGAAACACTATGTAAAAAATATGAAAAATCAAGATGAATGTAAAAGTCATTATATATATACATATTTAAAAACATTAAAATATATTTTAAAAATTGTTTTAAATTTTTGGTATTAAAAATAAATTAATGTGAAAATAATTATTTTATAAATTTATTTTAATATTATATAATATGCAGATATTTAAATATATTTT